AGGTCCCAGGTCCCCCGCGCGGCGAGCAACCCGGGCCGCGCTCCCCCTCAGCCCGAGTTCCCTCCACCGCAATTACCCTCCGCGGTGGGGCACCGCGCCTCCGCCCCGCCCCGCTCCGCTTACGTCACGGCTCCGTAGCCCCAGGCGGGGGTGACGGAGGGACGTTCCCAGGCTGCGCGCGCCCCCTCGTGGCGCAGGGCGGGCCCTGAGCCGGCGGCGTTCCCGGGATCCCCGCGCGGAGAGCCGCGGAGACCCCTGGAAGTTACGTGGCGTAACCCGCGCTTCTCGCTTTTTTATCTTTCCCGCTTACGAAAACCACCCGTACAGTAGACACAACTGTTGCGGCCTAACGTTCCTAGGCTCCTGTTCCCGAGATTAACGGTCCTTTGCAAAAAGAAAACAAAAGGAAGGACTCTGGTGCTCAAAGCGCAGAAACCGTTCCCCCGCGGCCGCTGCCGTTGGCGGCGCAGGCGGACGGAGTGTAGAAACGCGGCGGTGCTGCCGCTTGTGCGGCGTTACTGCGCCAGTGAGGAGCGCGCCCTCGGAAGGAAGGTTTCCTCGTCTCCACGCAAAATATCCTCGAAGACTCGAGACCTTACCGGAGGTTCCTCTCAGCTCTCGCACCTGAGCGCTGCTGTTCAGGCCGCGGCAGCAGGCGGGACGGGGCTCCTGCGCGCAACCGGCTTCCCAGGCTGACCGGTACTGGGGAAGACTGCCCTGCTCGCCTTTTCCTGCTCTTTACATTTTTTCTTTTCTTTTTTAAAAAACATATCTTTATTGATTTCAGAGGGGAAAGGAGAGGGAGAGAGAGAGAGAGAAACATCAATGATGAGTCATGGATCGAGCCCGCAACCCGGGCATGTGCCCTGGCCGGGAATCGAACCCGGATCGCCTGGCTCCCAGGTCGAAGCTCAACCGCTGAGCCACGCCCGGCCTGGCTAACTTTTCCATTTATATATTTTAATGAGCAACTATCTTGAAAATGACATACAGCATTTGGTGAAGCCACTAAGCTAAAAATCTATGGCAATCCCACGTTAACAGGCACGACTCTTCCTGTTCTCTCTCCGCCTGGTCCGAATTGTCACACCTTTGGCAGCACTGTCTGTGCGGGTTACTGCCTCTCCCGCGGCCCCGCATCCCTGTCCCTCTCCATAGGTGAAGTACCAGGGAGATGACAGGAGCTAGAATGATGAGGGTAGCATCTGAATCAGGGGTACATTATTCAGTAAACTGTGTTCTGATATTAGGGGGGGAGGCTTAAAACTCTCACACTGTCAAAATGCAACCCCAAAGTAATAAAATCATAAGAGCTACAAGAAATATGCTTTTTAAAAAACTGATCTCATAGTGGTTCTTTTTAAAAAAAAAAAATTTAAGAATTTATTTGAGCAAAAATCACTTGGAATCTGGCCGTGCCAAACCGGGGGCAGTTAGTAGGGTTCTGGGGAGGAACTTTGTAAACAAAAAAACAAAGAAGGAAACCATAAAAGATAAGATTAGTAGGCCTGGCTACTTAAAAATTTAAACTTCATGAAAGTTAAAAAACCCTAAATATGAAAAGTCAAGTTGATGGCAAAAAATAAAAATTAGCAAAGGACACAAATAGGGAATTTCACACACAAACAAAAGAAATATAAGTGACTAACAAAAATATGAAAAAAGTTCAAATTTACTAGTAAAAAAAAATCAAATTAAGAAACTAAGCCGTAAATATTTAAAAAGAACAAGAACATTCAATATGGATGAAAGAGCTGAGTAGATATTCTAAGATAGGACTAACGTCAGTGTAACTTCAAACAACTTTTTATAGCATAATCTGCATCAAAAATCTTAAAAATATTCATAGCTTTGGCATGATAATTCCACTTTTAGATTTAAGTATGTAAATATGTACAAAAATTAGATAGAAGTATAAAATTAGTGCACAAAACTGTTCATTAAGATGTTATTTACAATAGGAGAAAAACTAAAACAACCTAAATGCCAAAAATAAGGACTTAATTAAATAACCTGTGATACATGCATATAATAAAATACCGTGTACCCCTTATGAAAAGGCAAGTTACAAAGCAATAAATATATATAGTTATGTCTTATTTGATTTCTCTTTAATATGCATTCATGTTTATATTCATAGAAAGGTTAAAAATGTATCAAAATGTTAAAAATTATAAAGGTGATTGGATTAAGAATGATTTTTTCTTTGCACGTGTCTGCTCTTTGTAAATTTACTTTGAACATGTGTTGCTCTTAAATAAGAAAATATAATTTTTGAGAAGATATGTATAGTTTTAAAGGTTTTCTTATAAAAGCATTCAGGATAGCAGTCCATTTTCCTGAGTATGACACATAATGCTTTCATGATATAGCTCCTGTCCATCTGTCCAGGTTCTTGCTGCAACTAAACTCCCCCTCATCTGTGCTGGCCACACTGAATCAATTTCAGGTCCCTGAACTAACCTCATTCTCTCCCCTCCATACCTTTGCATTGCAGTTCCCTATGCCTGCAGAGGACAGCTGGTGACAGGTATGTCAATAATAGTAAGAGTTTCTCATTACCTTGGCTCTGAAATATTGTGACAGCGTGGAGGATGATTGCCTGAGGTCTCTTGCTCATATAGGAGTTTCAGCAGAGATCTAAACAAATGGGCTCAGCAGCTTTGCAGATGAGTGTTTTATTCCTATGAATTGAAAGGAAACACAAAAACTCAGACGATTCCGCAATCCAAAATATATATAACTAGAGCCTTAAAGTCTGCTTAAGAAGAGAGG